TGCTACTATAAAAATTAACGCCAGTCTCAATACCAAAGGAAAGTACTAAAACCAATGTTAAAAGCCAACGGCGGCAATCACGAACAGGTTTTAATCAGCAGGCTCACTTGCCAGGAACACACTGTATGCGCGCCGCGGTCTGTCAACGGGGGGGGGGGTGAGCATATATATATATATATTCACGTAGCATCTATATTAATACGCATAAAGATATACGTGCAGACAGGGACATAAATGCCTGCTCATACATATGAATTGGTAAGTGCGATATGGTAAACTATGCTGCATTCTGACATTTTATGCTGGATGACGTCATGCTCTATGATCGAATAATCAAGGTGAAGGAAAGTATGGTGTACGATATTGTATCAGACAATACTACACTATACTATAACTTAGCTGACTACACTATGGCGCATTTTGGTGTGCTATTACAGAAGTAAGTACAACTTTCTTACATTCTATGACATTGAGAAAATGATCCTGCATTTTAACGTGCAACATGCTTTCATCGTGATAGCTTTCTGATATACACTGCACTGCATTACACTAAAACACCATACGACCATACTAAGCTGAGCCATGCCAAACTTTACTCTCCAGTACTACATTATGCTCTATGGCGCTGTACAGTGCTTTATCAACGTGTCATATAGAGTTGTATACCATTCTATGATATTATTGTTGTCTCCAATTCTCATATATTATGGGGCACTCTCTTGCATTACACGACATACTTCCTTTTCCGCTATATCATATCCTACCCACCCACATATACGAATATAAAAATGTAACTATCAATATACTGAATTAACCGTAACTATAAATAAAAAGAAAGATATATATATATATATACACTGTATATGTATACATATATATATATATGTATATATATATGCACACTAAACTGTTTGATATGCTGTATAGGCTGTATAGTATATCTGCATGCATGTTTGATTGGTTGTCTGTGTATGCATGTAATTATGTGTACATGTATATGCCTATGTATGCGCATATGAACGGGTTTGACGTCGAAAAGCAGGTCCTGGATGTTGGTGAACATGGTTTGTGGCGCGACTACCAAGCAACCTCCCCTTCGCGAATTGTTGCTTCAGGTTACAAGATGTGGTTTCCCCTGCAGCCCCTGGCTGGGGCATTTCTAGATTCAATGTAAGGCTACAGGCGCTGACCGATTCGGAACATATGTTAGCGGACTGTGCGAACCCGGCAAGCCTACAACGGCGGAGCCCGCACAAATGACACCGTAAACACCCCCAGGCCCACATATAGACTAATTATATATCGAGACACTTCTAGACCTGTGCATCAGTGTCTACCAGTAAAGTATGCCGATGCAGCGCGGTTTCAGGGCAGGTCAGGCTGCAGCCGATTTACGGCACAATGTTTCTCCAGCGCTAAACATTCAATGCAGCAGCGTGGGCCAACAAGTCCATGCCATCATGGCTACGACAAATCACGAAAGCAAAACTGACTCAGTGGAGGTCCGCGGTCCGAAAGAAATGCCCAACGCTCATCATCTATTTTCGCAGAAAGACTTTTCGCCTGGCCTGTTCGCTGCGGTAAGTGGTTGTAAATGCACGCGGTAGGCCAGTTCACAATTGCGCTTTCTGTACACACCCCAGCTGTTTACAACCACCACTGGTTCGGTGCCTACCATTACAGCTAGTCGCGACTGCTTCTAGCAGTAAACACTTGGGAGACTTTAATTGCAATCAATGGCACAGTGACAGAACAACGCCGCACCTTGCTACTGCAGTGGCCAGACTGGTTCGTACGATGCTCTGTCGCGTGTCACTGTGCGCGGTGCGTCTTGCTGAATGCATTCCCTGCATGGCTCTCTCAATAGGCTCGTAGGTGCGCTGACTGCCACAAGTGCTCAGGCTGGGGGGACAATGCTTGAGATCGAGACCAGACTCGGATGCTTGAACATGCCAGAAGCTCTGGAAGATCATTATCCGAATATTCGGGCCAGGCTGCGGCAACTCCAATAAATCTGAGACCATGCCCGACCAGAATGTCTTGGGAAAATCTGTGCACCGATCCGAAGTGGAGGTATGGCTTCACAGGCTTCAGCAACTCCATGTCAGATATAGGAGGACATCGAGTAAACGACCCAGGACAGGATACGATGGTGAAGCTGCCGGTACGCAGTGTCCTGTGAGGCCATGTACTCAACGTACCCTTCCAGATGGCACCCCCTTGTGGGGCACTGGCTCCCGAGTGGTGACACAAAGGCTCTGGGACGCCAAAGCTCAGGGCTTCAACCCCTTCGAGTCGAAGCTCTTAACATTTCGGAGCGGGGTTTCTGATATCCTTCCGACCCTGGCTGTGTCAACTTTCTTTAGTCTCCATTGGATGCCATGCTCAAACTTAAAGGGCAGCAGTTTTGGTTGACTGAGTTTGGACACGAGGGAATTTGCATGAATGCTGCCACTGCAGGCTTAGAGGCTAGATGTTGCGCTAACCTGGGAACCGTAACATTCAGAATAAGCTGTTGGATGTATATTCTAGCTACTTTAGCTACAAATACGGACACTAAATGGCAATTTTTCAGACCATGACCTTAGAGGCCTACAGCTTCACATGCGAAGCTCAGGTTTGCAGGTTCCAGCTTTGGAACCGCCCCAGCCCCTGACTTGCACACTGCTGACATTACAGCAAATTCGAATCTGAAGAGGGTGTAGCAAAGTAGATGGATCCTGAACTCTTCTAGGGGCCCCGGATTAGACCAGCAACAGCACAAAGAAGCAAGCAGCATCAAAGTGACTGACGGAATCCTTAGCTAATACTCAAAGCAGCATTCAGCTATTGGCAGTTCGGAATTTCACGTCCTTGTCAGGGGGAGGCGGGCGGGGTAAGGATACGTCTCGAAGTGTCAAATTGACATCCAAATAGGGCCTTAACAGTTGGAATAGCGTTTGGGGTACGGAATATACTATAGCATGAATATATTACGGAACCCTAACGAATAGCAATACTGATTACTCCCACCCCGAAAAGTCCCTCTTTCACTTCGCTGCAGCCGCCTCAGCGCGACCTGGCCTTCGCCTTTGGCTTCGCTTTCCTGAGTGTCTCGAATTCCCCATCCTCTGAAAGCATTACTGTATTGGGTTATACTATACGGTAATACTAACCGAAATATAGAGGCGTAGGGGATATGAAAAGTCTAGATGTTGGGCTTTCTTTGATAAGTTTAATAATTTCGAAGCTTCAAGTTGAGGAGTGTCAAGCTTCGGGGCATCAAGAGCTGTAGACCTAATTCACTCACTGCAGAATCTTGTCGTGAGGCCCTCGGATCTTCAAATCCCTGTCATCGGTCGGAATGATTACCAATCATAGCCCCTCGTAGCCCCTGCATAAGTATAAGATAGAATACAGCATACCCGAAAACTGCCCGAAACCATCCTAATCCTCATGATGAAGGCTCCCATATGGGGTTTCCGAAAGAAGGGGACCCTAGTATAGTACCCGAAATAGCAGGGTCCTTATTAAGAGGAGCCCCAAATAAAGTACCCCTTATTGTCGGAAACTCCCATATTGCTTCACTGCCTTTTAAGAAGAGCCCCAGTTGCTGGAGGTGCTTCACCAGATTGCCCGTGCGGGGGTCCACAAAGTTGTGTGCATTTTGTGTGCATCCGCCTGGGAAACGAGTTGTGTATAAGGGTTCTACAAAGGTTTTATACAGGCTCCTTTAAGGCTTTATCACGATTGTACAGAAGCTCGTTGAAGCCTTTCTGGAGACATACCAAAACCCTGAAGTGTTGTTGAGGATTCTGTGTGATTTTGCGGGATGTTCAGCGCTCGGGTCAGGATTGACCGTGTTTCACAGTTCCATTAAAGACTTGTCAGGTGCTTTGCTGGTCGGGGCCAAAGCGAGTAAGGCTTCGCCGTAGTTCTTCATCATCATGGGCTATCGGCCAACTTTCCATGGCATCAACTGATGCGGTATCCATAGCTTCGGGGTTCTAGTTTCGGATCGGCTCCCGGGGATTTCTCATCACAGGAGGGTAGTTTCGGCGCAGCGGGAATCAGTTTCGGGAAGCGGGTTTGTCAGTTTCGGGGGCGAGATGGGCAGTTTCAGTCCGAGTCTTGCAGGCCTGAGCCGCAAACTGACCGTGGCGTGAGACCGAAAGTGACTACGTCCTGACCCGAAACTGTCCGGGACCATGTTCCGAAACTCAGCACCGAAACTGACCTCGAAAACGCTGAAACTCACAACTTTCTAAACCGATGCACGAGGAAACCGTAATGATGCTGCAGGTTGAGGTGCAAGTGTAGGTTTCGGTAAGTACGGCGCCGCAGCCGAAGCAGAACCTTTGCGAGACTTCCCGACTTCCCAATTATAGTGTAGACGTATGGTTTGAAACACAAGGTTCAAGAGCTTAGCTTAGCAGCTGGGGGAGTGTACCCAAACACCACCACGATTCAACACCCTGCTAGTGGTATCTTCGGCTCGATCAGAAGTCTGCCGAAAGCTGTGAACTCAAATGGAAGCCAAGGCAGCTGCCCGACAGTGTCAGAAAAAGCGGTAGTCATCAAGTTGTCAACACTACTGAAGCTTTGCAGCATGACTCATTCAATAAATATCAATGTGGGCATGATAATGCAGAAGCCGACAGAGAGCCCGCCAAAACCACGTTACGCGGCATGAGAAAATGTCATTCGCGCTTCTCCTGATGGCTAGCCATATTCTGCGCAAAGCCCACAAAACTGGCACCCTTTCTGCATGAGTGCCTGTACCTGCGCTTCATCGACCCGTCAAGAATCCGAAGCAGTGCATTTCTAGTGCTGTGCGATAGAACCGTGGCCCGAAGCCGGTGCAGTAGCAGGGGCTGTCGACACAGATTGTCGGAGCCACCCGCGTGTACAGCCGGCCCGAAAGGCAAAGGTTCCGCTAGGCTTGCTCCTTACCGCCCCATACCGGCAGAACAGAATTTATCAACACCATCCAGCAGCTCCGGCAAGGGACTTGCATCCACAGTTGCGGCACATCATCTTGTGGCACTCTTCCACCTGGTCCTGCGAGGAACGGTGCCTGCTTGTCCATGAAACATGGAGTCCGTCTCAGCTTGCATGGCTGCTGCTGTTGCATTTCATGAATGCCCGCTTGAGTGCGACTACATGAAACACCCCAACGCAGCTCCGTCTGGGCGTCCAGATTTTCCTTGGAAGTCGCCATCCCGCCTTAGGGGCAATGCTGCGCTTTTAGCAGGTGCCTGTTATTTGAGGCTCCGTCATACCCTGTCCTGCCCGGCTGAACTGCAGGCATGCTGCACTGGGGGCACTGTCTCGTTCCTGTCTCTTTCATCCACTCCATGAAGCCTGAGAGTATGCAGAAAGGTCACCACCTGCACCTTGGCCTTACTGAGTTTGTACCCTAACACGACCGACGCAGCAAGAATACAGGCCGAGCCCATCCCAGCACCGCCAGAACCAAACCTTCGAACTCCTGGCCCGACCGCCCTGGACTCGACCGAAAGCTGTTCACAGATCTTGCGAATACCATGTAAGCCTCTGTAGCAATGTAGGAGCTTCCCCTGTCCCGTCATGGAGCACGCAGACATCCGACGGAATCAGCGATCGAGAGAGAAACTAGAGTGACTAAAGGCCGTATAAGCCGATTACTAAGATGAAGTTGGTCCTCAGAGCAGATCACCCAAACCGCCAAAAGCGAAGTGGAACCACGCCGAGCGACTCTCGTCGGCGCCTTTTCCGCGCTGTCGCTTCCGGTGCTCCTCGCAAGTCAAGCCTGGCGAACTTGCAGTTCTTGGAGGACTCCGCTTCGAAGTGCTTGGATACCACTGCTCTAGTCATCTGGTCACGGAGCCCCGGCTGAGAATGATGAAGCTTTGACGAGTAACTGATGCCTGATGAGCTACGGCGACGCCATTTTAGGATGACCGGATCACACAGCTTTCTGAACCCTAAACCCCCCACCCCCTCCCACCCCCTCCGCACCTTCGTGATACGGCTGGGCGCCGCACATCCAGCCTGCGACTTTGGGCTGCTCACTCGGATTAACTTTGTGAACCGCATGGAAAGTCAAATCATGTAGAAAGTGTAGGTATGGTAGGTACAGTATGGATGATCGCACTGGGTACACCCAGACCTTTGCAAAAGATGTGAGATCCTTTGTGTCATGCCCCAGGCAAACAGTGCTGCCCATCTTGCTTGTCAAAATCACAAGTAGCCCCACAGCACCTGCAGCCTAGAGCAAGCTCGGAAGTAAAGCTCGAGACAAGAGCAGGATCGTGAGATTATCTCTTGCTGTCCTCAATCTCAATTCCCCGCCGCATGCACTCCGAGTGGCATGCTTCAAGACCGCAAAGTGGGCAGGTGCCCCTCGCAGAGGTCGCATCAGGAAAAGCTTTCTTCATCATGCAGTCGGGAGTTGGACCTGGAGGCACTGCAGGACCGGAGGATTCATTAGGGCACCAGTCCCAGAGATCGCCGAGATGCAAGACATGCCAGCTACGCTCTGAGCATGTAAACTGATCCACAGTTGGGCGGAGCCTTCCATCTAGGAACCCGGCAGGGTCTCACGACGTTGCCCGATGCCGCAGCACGGCGCAGAATGTTGGAGGCATGCAGTCGAAAGACTGTCTTCTTCGGAAGCAGTCCTCGGATTTGAGAAAAATGGAAACAAGGCACTTCGGGAGATGCGGAGCAGGTGTGGGACCCAAGGCCGGTGTGAGGCGGCTTCGCCTTCGTGAGACGGCATGTCGGATGAAGCAAAGCACGGCTTCAGTAGGTGTCGTGGCACGCCAGCTGCTTCGTCAATCATGCATCGAGTCACCCAGGGCTAGGAGATACCACTTGTAAGGTCGGCCAACCGCAAGCATGTACCATGAAACCGCTTGGCGAACGAGTGAAGCAAACCCCATAAGCTCTGGTGTGTCATTATCCCCTGGAAATCACAAAATCTCCAAGCCCGGACTTTGGCGAAAAAATGCCACACCTTCCTTACTCCACCTCTTTAGCGCCGGGTGTCGCAGGAGGTCTTCCTCGGAGATGGCCTTCGCGCAATCCGGGCAGGGGATATCCCCCGAGATGCCAGACTCCAGCCTTGCCTCCCAGGAAGTCGGTGTCTGTTGAGACTCTTGTAGTATACTTGTACAGCGGATGCAAGGGGATATTATTCTACCGCACAGAATCGCGAAAAAGGGGATGCTTCCGCACCTGGTTTCCTCAAGCAACTATTAGCTGTACATACGAACGACCGTCACATCTGCACCTGGTTTCCCTCATAGCTAGCAGTATGAGCATCGTAGAGTGAAAAACAGTATACTGCGCCTGCCATGCTTTGTTCTTCAAATGCCCCGTCTTTGCCAATGACTGCCTTTGTCACTCGGCCTGGGCCTGCAATCCGAGGGGCTGTTGTTATGGTCATGGCAGCAGCTTCGGGTGAAAATGGCTTCATGAGCACTACTACCACTACCACCACCACTACCACTACGACGACTACTAGTGCTGACTACGACAACTACGACTACTACGACGACGACTACTACTACTGACTACGACTACGACGACGGCGACTACTACTACCTAACTCCAATTGAACCGGCTTCAGAGGCGATTCATGTTCCGGGGCTTGGCCTAAAGCCCGACAACCCCAACCCTGGAGCCCTCAACACCAAACCTCAAAACAACATTAATCATTAGTATACTACTTCATGTCCTGCCTGCCTCGATGATTATGCTACGATTTTTGACCATGCTTCGGCTCGAGTCTCCCCAAATGGCTAATTTCGGGCCGAGACCTCTCAAGAAAACGCAGACAAACGAACACTTACGTATCAGAATCAGCCTCCACGAAGTGGTTGATGCAGGATGGACAGTACCAGCCATGGCCACAGCCCAGCATGACCTTTGGCAAGCTGCTACACATAGCATGTGCGGCGATGAGGACTTTTCATGAGGCAAGAAAAGTCTGAGTTGAAAAAGGCCACGAAGACTCGCCACGATGATGAAGACAGGGTCAGGATGACTTCGACTGTCGACTGGCAGAGATCTGACTGCAAAGTAGAAAACAAGATGACAACAACAACTGGTCCCTCAGAACTGTTTCTAATAAATATATTGAGACGATGGAGTTCGGGCAGGAAGCCCTACTCCTAGTGAATATACGTAGCCTGAAGAAACACGATGAAACCTGTTCATATGCTTCTGTTCAATGCTGTTCACATCCCTTCTTGCCCCCGCTCTCCTCGCTTTCGGGTTCATGCCATACCCTTCACGCATCCAAGCGGCGGCTGCGTCTACCCTGCGCTCATCGCAGCATATGAGGCAGGATTCCTCAAGCTGCTTGCAGGGTGTGCGCCGGTCAAACGGTTAGGGCTTGAGGTTGAGCGCGGGTACTTGTAGAATTTGCGCCTTGTAGGATATCATCTAAGTCGTAATTACTGCTTCGGCAAAACGTTGGGACCTCATCCTGAGGCAGACCTTGGCCTTTATAGTTTCTCAGATGCGGACTTTCAGGACGAGGCTCGCAGTATGGGCAGCTCAAGCCATCTGAACAACTAGTGTGTGAAAAAACACGTCCAAAAGTTGAACCGAAATCGTTGGGCGCCAGGACTCGGCATCCGAGTTGAAACGAAGGATTCCCGCTCGGGTCATCTTTGCCTCGATGCTGGAGTGCGGCAAAAACATGGTGTTGTTGATGGTGTTTCGGCTTAGGCTGGCTGGGACAAGTCTGAACACAGGTGGGTGTGTGCAGCAGTCCTTTGCTCTCCGTGTCACTACTGCCGATCCCTTCGATGAACAACTCTTCTTGACTTGCCACTTGCCCAGCTTCCCACCGCTGAAAGCTTGACCACGCCCGGCCAAGGTCTGGCAGCTCCGAAGACCCAAACTTCCTGGAATGCCCAAAGAAGGCATGCCCTTGCCTCGTGCTCTTCGAGGTCCTTCCGGGCCTGGCTGACCGCCTCATCACCACAGACTTCTGCAGATTCGCAGGTCTTTGCACTCCCTGCCTGCCTCTAAGCAAGCTCATGGAACAACACAACTTGATCCAAACAAACGAACCATCATAATCACATCGTAGTATGTGTCTGATGTTGTAGATTGTACGTTGTTATTGTATGTGTGCTCATACATGAGTATATGCAGCATACTAAGTCGCTATGAACAAGCAAGCGCTCCTCCTCCGCTGCTTCGTGTGCGGCCTCCTTGGCCCTCCGTGCCGCCTCTGCCTGCTGCAGCTCCTGTGGAAAGCAATGATTATATCATACTACAATCATAATAATATGATAAGAAGAATAAGAATATAGTAATAATAAGAAGAATAACACCTATCCAGGAAATAAGTTAACTTGGTTCACACTGGCATGGAATGCCAAGTTGTCAGGTGTTTCTGTCCCTCTCCCATCAGAATCACTGACTGCCGCACTGCTGTCAACTTGGTGACTGCGAATAGAGAGCTACACTTATCATTGTGATATCCAGATATCCGTACAACTTGGTGGTATGCTTGTGTTTAATACACGCTGAGGGTCATGAGCTTGCACCAAGAACTGTGGCATACTGTGGCCGGCCTGCGGAGGCCAAGAATTCAAACCACCCACAAGCAGGCAGAACAGCGTCCATCATTCTCCAACCCAGGAAACCTCCCCGGAGATCAATCGCCTAGTTGTGGTTTGCGGGTCCTCGGCTCTGGAACGAGCATCGCTGGCACAACTATCGACGACCTGTTGCGTGGCGCGGCCACAACCCTGTTGCCGCTCAATGTTGCCCACACGCACTCCAAGAAATTATCTACTTAGAATCTACTTAGCTCTGCTGACGATCCAGCCCTGGCGCAGCAAACTTAAGCCCCTGCAAAGCATCACAGCGCGCCCAAGACCCTGCAGCCCACCTTCTGACATCGCTGCAGCTCAATGCGGCACGTCTCTGACAGATGTCGCCCTCGGAAGCATGAGGCCGGCAGACTTCCTTTGGTCTTGGCCCACTTGAGTTGAGATCGTCCAGCCCCCGAACTAGCACAAATCGGTACTCCACACACAAGCATCCAAGGTTCCGAGTGCGAAGGTTTCCAGAAAACCAGGTTATGGGGGTCTGTGTGCTTTGCTGGTCCTGGGCACGTTCTTGCCACCTCTTTGTCTTTGCCGCCGAATCGTGCAAAGCACGATGGCCGTTCGGACAGGGTCTACTTCTTTGCCTCGCGGTCCGCTAAGGTCCCAGCTTCCTTTGAGCTGTGCGGCCAGTGTCTCCTTGCATCGTTCGGGATTTCCCTTCATTCACGAATTTCAGAGCCGCGCCTGAGCCGATCTACAAGATTAGCTGCTTTGCAAAATCTGGTCCTGGATCAGGGTCAGGATTTTCTTATCCTTCGCGGTGCGCTTGGCCTTCTTCTTGACCATGATCTCAGGTAGCCTCAATCTTTTCCAGCGGCTCTTCGAAACTGTGATGGGTTGGACTATGGAGTTGCGACCCTCAAACTCGAAACTGCCATACCCCAAGTTCCGCAGGAACAGCCTGGACATTCGCATCACAAAATCATCTCTGTTCGCACGACTTGTACTGTTGCAAGTAGTGCGGCATGGTCAGTCGTGGCTGAGCAAAGGAAGACATCGCTCTTCTGCCCTGCCCTGGACCTTTGGAGCTCAAGGACAGAGTCCGGTGGTCAGCGAGTGTACTGCCAGATACCGGCCAGCACAGCAAGCCGGCAGGACATTATACCGAACTGCACCCCCCCCCCCCCGGCTTTGCAATCGGAGCCACCATTAAGCTTTGTTCCAAGTGGCCCCTGGAGCTGTGCCTCGTCAAGTCCATATGGTTTCAAAGCCGTCCGAAGGGCCTCTGCGACTTTCGCAGGATTTCAAAACTAAGAGCTTACAGGCTTGCAGGGTTGATCTGTGTTTGAGGTTCGGTTTGCTTCCGACCATTTCCCGATCGGCATCACGACCAAAGGATAGCACAACTTAATTCGGGGTTCAAGCTGAGAATGTGGGCAAGTGAAGTGCGCAGATGCTCTCAGTCGGCCTTGAGCTCGGGCACCTAGCAGATCGTTCCGCTAACCAGCTACTGAAACAGACATGCGGCCAGCGCAGACATTGATAACATGGTATCCCCCTCTCTCCCACCCCATCGATGCCCCGAAACTGCCTTGATCTTGGTCTTGGCCTTGTCGGACGGATTTTCGAAGAGCTCCTCACTTGGTGTGGGTACCGAACTTGGCCGGAGGTTCTAGAATCCAGAATCCTGCAGGTGTGCAAGAGGGCCTTTCACTAGCATATTATCACACACGCATAATGTCCTCAGAACAACTGTAAATACTATAACAACCATGATACTACCAGTAGCAACAACACCTTGCGGCTCCTCGAAGCTCTGCTTCACTCTCTGAACTTTGCCGACCTCCTCGTCCTTACTCGGCACGGAATTGGAACTGCACGTGACGGCTGGTCCACAGTATGAGTCCTTCATCAAAACAACCCACCCCGAAAAGCTGCCAAAACTTATCAAGAAAGAACCCACGGACATTCAATGAAAACACCTGCTTCGACCCATTGAGGCGGACCATGTTTGTCACTGCAGTCTTTGCACTGTGCAGCCGTTCGGCAGCTTACACAGCGAGCACACCCTTCCATGTAGGCCCTCGAACGTGGCGGAGACAAGTAACGGATAAGCATTTCGGTCGATCGAAGCCAAAACGGGAAAGGGTTTGGGGTTCTGTTCTTCAGGCGTGAAGCCGTAAGCTGCCTAAACCCGACGACGGCATTATGCCCAGTGCGTCCCAAGTTGCCCCAGCCGTGCTGTTTTTCTCCTCTTTATCCTTCATTCTAGCAGCTTAAAGCCTTAAAGCTTGCGAGCCGGGCTGCGCAAGCCTTCAAGGCATCCTGGGCCTTCGCGACGGCCTCTTCTGCCTGGCCATAGACATCGTCCTATAAAGGAGGAGGGTGGCGGAGAGTGCGGCGTCCTGAGCCACGCCCCCAGCACTTAGACTTAGACCCTTTCAAAGTCCGGAGCATCCTCTGACGACCCATGCGCCTTCTGAGTCACTGGCTGTGCGGCCTGGGCCCTGCTCTCCATCTGCACGACGAAGGCTTTGTGTGCCTGCAGGGGTTCATGCGCTTAGTTTAAACTTCCAGCATTGCAGGATTCCGGGAGAGAAGAAGAAAGTACATGTGCAACGCAAACACCGAAGCTCAAGCACTGGCTGGCGGACATCCTCACTATGACATTATGTGTATGGACTGCATAGATCTGCCGCGTGTCATTTGGGCCTCCACGGCTTCCGCCTCTTCGGCCTTTTTGCGAAGTAGAGCCGCTGATGCGTCTGCCAGTGCCCTCCGCAGCTCGTGCTGCTGGGCCTCTCGGACTTTTTGAGCAGCACATTTATTTGCTGGGTCGTCATGAGCGCAGAATCGGAGCTGAGGCTTTTGCCCTCCAGCATTGCTAGCAACAGATCACGCGCTGGTGTTGTTTTTTCGCCCTACACAGACTGTAGACGATATCCTCTCGATGTCAGCCGTAGCATTTTCACAGGGGAGAGGCGAGCAGGCGAATTCGGAAGCTTAACGCTGGAACCTGCCGGCTAATCAACCCTCTCAGCTGGAACAACAGCAACGATAGTACTGCACAGAGCATCAACTTTGCAGGGCACCCGTAGGCACACCTCCGCTGTTTCGGCCGGGAACGTGTTCTCCACACGGAACTGGCCGCCCTCTACAACCTCAAATCCAATGCTCGCTTGGACACAACGAACTCTGCTCGGTACTTGCTGATTGACGAAGCCCTGTCCAAAGCACACCACATCGCCGCGGAACGAGAACGACTGTGCTGGAAGAGCTCGAGGTGGCTGCGCTGGCGACCTTCATCACAGGAGGCGGCTAGATGATATCCACGCATGCCGACACCTTCTGATTCCGCACATCTCTGGCTGGGATAAGGCCGCTGAGGGGTTTGGGGGTTCTACGCTCTCACAACTTGGACAGGCTTAACTAGAAGGGTCTTACACTCTCACAACTCGGACAAGCCAGGCTAATTAGAAGGGTTTTAGGGTTTTTTTGCTTCGGGACTCCATGATTTGCCCGGGGCACAGGCGCTTTGCTTTCAGCAGCCATGCCAAGAAAACAACCACCCGATTCGATCATTACGAACGAGGCGACACAGGCCGACGGCCGACACAACATACATATTTTAGCACACAGCTGCTGGGCAGCTCTACATGACACAGGCGTGAGACCGTCAGACTCAGACGCGACAGAATATACAAGCGGAGATGGTGATCACGTGGATGGAAGCACATACAACTCAGGCCCTATCGCCAGTACTGGGGACTGCCACTGTCGCGGTAGAACTTCAAGGGTGACGACGAAGTCATCAGTAACAAGCGGTGGACTCAATAAGTACGTTAGGTAGCAAGTATAGAGTTGTACATGTCCGAAAGGCTGTTTCAATGGATCCCGAACACGGCCTGAGGTGGTGCACTTGAGTCTGCTGGGGCAGATTGGCTTGAGCTCGTGCTCTTCTTCGAGGCCTCCGCCTCAGGATGCGTGGTATAGAAGTCTCAAGTCAAAATGTCCGGAAAATGCAGGATTGGTCAAGGAGCCAACAAGGTTTGGAGTGTCGGTACCGAGTAAAAAGACAACACCGGCAAAGCGATGCGGAATGCGCCTCTGCCATGGGCACGTCAGCCGTCGGCGGTAGGCTTACCTCCACACTTTACAGGCGGGACTTGAGAGGCACCCTGTCGCTCTGAAAACCAGGGAAGCATGGGGAAGCCGCATCTTTCCGAGAGTCCGAAGCCCAGCTACCGGGTCCTCAACCTCAAGCTTCAAGCTCAAAGGGAGGAAATCGACTTTGGCGCAGTTCGGCGTTCATGGACGTTTTCAGGAAGGCCTTGACCGGAGACGGTGGGCGAACCTTCTCTGCGGCTTCCGGTGCTGCTTCCTGCAGAGGAGGACCTCTGATCTCGTGGATCCGACGACGCGATGACTTTAGCTGCACATGGTTGGCTTCCCCCCAGACTCCTTGAAAGACCCGGTGAACCTAAAGGCTCCTTCCTGTGAATCCTGTCCCCGATCGTGACACTTTGCGCCGGTGATCCCACAGCCGCATGCTGGAAGCTAGTCGAAACAGTGAACCTTGCGCTCAGGCGTGAATCCTTACACCAAGCGCGGCACATGCTCTGAACCTGAACCCTATCTTGCCAGTGAGAATCCCGTTGCAGCGCTCTGATCGGCTTCTGGCAGGCCAGCACTGGCCTGAAGTGAATTCTCATGTCGCATCAAGTGATCTTACGAAAAGTTGCATCCTGAGGGCTGCAGGTTTACCTCCGGAACAAACAGCCGGACACACGCCACTAATTCCATCATCCGGACGTGTCTGGCAAGGAAAAGCGAAGCTAGCTTCGACGAGCATGCTGGGATCTGGGTCTCGAGACCAGCAAATGCCTGAAGCGCCACAAGCCCGAAACCCAAACCAGGTCCCTCCCTCGACCCCCCATCCTACCCAGAAGCGAACCTAGCTCCGAGTGGGGATCTGGACACGCCTGGATCGCCGAGACTTCAGCATCCGGCTGCGGCTGCTGTGTCGTCGCGGCTGAAGCCTGCGAGTCCTCCAAAGATGTCGGAATCAGCCCAGCCCTGCGATGACTGGTGTCTACAGCCCTGAATCGTCTTGGGTGGCAAGGGTCACACCGCCTCAGCCCCGATTGAGGAAGGCAACCGCCCTCTCCCAGCCTTATTGGAGGGGACGACACTTTGCACACTTTCCACCGAACACCCTGACTTGGTGCGCCTCTGTTGGCTCCGTCTTGGGCCGCTTCCTCAGCTGCCGATGCAGCAGAGCTGAGGGGCTTGAGAGTATAATTTGGGGATGCGACTTATTCAGTATGGGAGCAGGTGCTCCGTGGGCTGTGCAAGCATTGGGAGCGTATAGCTTCAGTCCAAGCTACTTCAATATCCTTGCCTTTCTTCTGACGGATGGCCCCTGTTGCTTCTATGCATCTGCCAGTCAAGGATGATCGACGAGCGAAACTCGAATTGAAAAAACGGTGCTGAGGTGTGGAAGCAAGACGCTTGCTTCCCTGGCAGAGGCAGAATGACTGGCCTACAGCACCAGCGGATTTGTGGCCAAAGAGCACTTCGTACCCTTCTTGCTCCAAGTGCTTCTCCAAGGCCTCTACCATGTCCTGTGTGCAAGGAGCACATGTTCGCAGCAAACCGACTTTACCACGCACTACTCGTCAATCGACTCCAATCTTTGCGTCCTGTTTGGTCTCTCGGATTGAGATGCCTAGCTGCTCGCACAGGCTGCGCAGCTTGAACACGAGGAGATTCTCCTGGAACTGTGCTTCCTGTTTCCTCTCCGGGTTCCACCGATGCCTACTGCCACAAGGGCACTTATTAGTCGTCTCAGCCCGCGTGAACCTTCCGAGCCTGCGAAAACGTGATGGAATGAATGCATGCTCAAAGGCACAGCAGCATCCACAACTACAGTCATTCGCGGACAAGGTTAGCGCTGTCCCTACCAACCGATGTATCATGATGTCTCTATTTCACACCGAGTTGTGGAGCTTGAGGATCACTTCGGCCAGACAGTTTACCCAAGATCCCTAATCCACATGTTCCGGGCACTGAAGACCAGGACCAGTTTTGCAAACTCTCTAATTCATTCTGCTGTTTAGAGTCTGGAACATGCTAGGTAGCAAAAAAACATGCGCACATCCTCATCGTCATGTTTGGCTGAAACGTCAAGAGGCCTCTTGGCTCCGCCTCCGCTTTGCCTCATCTCCCGCCTGGCGCTGAGCCTCGCGACACGACTGGCAGTCTCGAGTTCGCGATCTTTTCTCAACTTCAAGCTCATGTCTGTGAACGTCTCAGCATTGTGGGGAATCCTGCAAGCTTTCGCGATGCGTTCACAAAGAGCGCCTTGTTCGTGTCAGGCACCTCAACCCTTTTAAAGACACCCATTACCTCAAGCCGCAGGAGCGCCTCGCCCCGAAGGACTTCTTCCTGCCATCCCCGCTCTGCCTGGGCAGGGCTCTGGCCGACTGGTGGCGAAAAGGTGAAGGGTTTATCGCCCCTTTGCCTCACATAGGACTGTAGAAAGCAGCCCACTAATATCACTCATTATCCATATCCAGGAATTATCCATATATCCATTAAGTATATTCATATATCCATTAAGTGTTCATATATCCAGGAATTATCCACATATTACCCATTATAAGTATTCAGCGTCTTCGGCCTCCGCTGCCTCTCCCTGGCACTTTCGGAAGGTCTCCTGCCGCGCTTCGGCCTGGCCGTGGGCTTTGAACTCCCGGAGAATGCTACCTAATTCCATAGAGTTTAAAGATTTATAGGCATCTATAGGGTTTTTTTGGGTTTAAGTTTAGGGTTTAGGGACCTGATTCCATAGTTTATAGATTTATAGGCATTTAGAGGGTTGACACTCTCACAACTCGGACAAGCCAGGCGAGGATTCATAGGCGCAGAAGTCGGCGTGATACATTGACGGGGGGATGCCTAGTTTATAGGGTTTGGGGCTTGGGGTTTGTAGTCCTTGAGCTCCCGAACTCAGTTCTGCAACAGACACAACCCTGAACTAGACAGGCCTCCCGCTTCGCGGTGGCCGCGAGGGCCTCGGCTTCCTCCGCACGGCGCCGGGCCTGCAGAACCGAGTCATCTTCACCCGCTTCTCTTCATAGTAATCGTATACGACCCTGACGTCGAAGGCGATTTCAGGTCTCGGACAACGCTCGGACTTTGAAGTTGAAAATTCGGAGGGTATAGCTTCCCTGATGTCACCTCGTCCCAATCCTGCAAGGGGCGGTCGTGGGTCCACCAACATATCACGCAAATTCCCAAAATTATGCAGAACGGCACGAGATGAAGCACCACACACCTAATATCGTAGCCACAGCCCATTTAGTCACTAGAATGCAGGATGTAAAACAACAGCGATCTCTGTGTGCATAACATGTGATGATGCTATATGTCTTCGTATGTCTCGATGACATTTTTCGGGGACAATGTAGACAGAAAGGTGTATCCTATTCATGCTGCACATGGCAATCGACCAGTCAACCAAATCAAATCATGTACTTCCAGAGCCCTCTAATCATCCTCCACCACGAAGCCCAGCAATGTGCCTCATGCCTTTTGTCACTGTCAAACCCGCCTCGGCCGCGCGCTCAGTGGCTTCGGCGGCGCGCGCCACCGATTCCTCCACCGCAAGCTGCGCAGCAGCAGCAGACCTTAACATATGGGCTGTTCTGATATGGCCAACCAGGAGAGGGATGCAATCATCAACCATGACTGTCCACCTTTTGCAGGCCCGGTCTTAAAGTTTAATCCGATGTTTTTCCATTCAGGTGAGCCAACTATCTCCAAGGGCTGCGTGACAGGCTATCGCTGGTCCCGAGGAAAAAATGGTACTGCCAAGTTTTTGGTGCGAGCCCAATCACGGAACTTCTGCCTGCCCGATTCTGACGCAATTTTTCACGGAGCAGGAAAGATTCATCAGCCAAACCCCGATTTTCACCGTCGTGCTCTGTACGTCTTGGGTCCACCCTGGTTGCCGTGGTCGTGCCATGCCATTGGGTCAAGTCGGGGAAGTAAACGTCAAACGTCAACATTTCTTTGACCAGGATGACCGTTTGAATGGACGTTTTTGATTTTCATTCCGACCATCGTGGCCCAGCCAATGCTTGCTTTCCAGATGGAGCGGCATCTGCAGTTTTCAAGGAGTTTTCTTCAAGTGCCGGTGGTGGTGCCAGCTTGGTTCACATGTTAGATTAAGTCGCAACTTTGCCTAGTTAAAGACATGCCAATGTGCACCACTAGCAAAGTATGGCGCATTGTTGGTGTGGAGCCTGGCACTGTCACCGAGCCTGACTTTGGCGCACAAATTCTTCTAATTGCAAAGATCCGTCGCCATTGGCGTCAGCACCTGCTACTAGACCGTCCGCGGATTTCTCGTCCTAATCATCTGGATCCAGCAGCAGGTTCAACGCTTCAATCAATTCGTCTCTGCTGATAGACCTGTTGCCCTCAGCATGAAATCTTTCCAGCACAGCTTCATGCTCGGGCTTTTTCCGGGACCAACCCTGGTGGTGCAACCGCTTGGTCGTGTAAAGTTCAAGCCGATGGCATTCTGCCGTCTAATCCAGAGTGAGGCACGCAGCGGCCTTCGCATGGGCAGACTCCCAAGTCTGCAGCTCTCTCTTTGCGGCCTGTCCCATGACTGCTAATTTAGAGGGCCGATTTGCATAGCTGTCAGCTCTAGGTTACGGCAACTGACGTCAGGTTCGGGTTGGGCCAGCTGTGGCGATTCTGTGCCTGGCATTCTTACCTCTGCAGGTGGCCGACAAGCTTCGTCTAGTAGCGCAACTTTTCCGAAACGAAACATTCTCATCCAGGTACACCCAACGACCTTGAAGACAAACTCGGGAAGGCTGAAGCAGGGGGCCTCTGCATCCTCTGCCTCTTTCCGGAGGGCAGCCTCCACTGATTGCGTGTGCAGAAAAGCGGTCTCCACAACTTCCTGCAGGATTTCAAGGGATGGACGGGCGGATGGTAGTCAAGAGGGGGCACAAACAGATTCAACATTCAACACATTGCCATACCTTGTGTGCTGCAACTTGTGCACTGGGTTGCGTGTGTTCACGGAAGACGACTTTTTTGGGCCTGGCACCTGTAAAGAAACTGCAGACTGTTCCATCTCTTCAAGCTGGCTGCCACTTTCAGATGCCGTCCTGCGCTCTCACCCGCACAGCTGCCAACTCGGCCTCTTCGGACAGAGAAGTGCACTTTCTACCAGGTCACAGCCGGCCTTCCAACTCCTAAAGTTGTGCCCGCACAGACCATGATTAGAGAAACGCCTTCAGCCTCTGAGCCCTGAAGCCCTCAACTAGGCAGACTATAAGGTGTATGCCGGTATGCCATTCATCGCCGGCCTTTCCGAGCCGCTTCCTGGTCGGCTCGGTGAAAGCCGCTTTGTGACAGATGCGCTTCCTCGGCTCCTGGGGACACTTCGCAACCTCCCTCAGCCCACCCTTGTCAATGGCCTGTCCCGAACCAACTGCGACGCAACCACGAGTGTCATACAGATCATTGGAAATTGCGGTGTCCCGTCTCCGCCTCCTCCGAAGCCTTCTTGGCCTTCCCTTTCGCCTTGGGCGCGGGAGGCTGGCCACGGCGCTTCATCGGCGCTGTTGGGCTCGAAGCTCCAAGAGATCGGAAGTCTTGATTTCTTTTGGCTGAGCTGGGCATGGGTAAACGAAGTGGGGTGCTGAGGCTCGAGAGCTGAAGAGCATCTTATCCTTTCGGCTATTTTGAGTTGTGGGTGCCCTGGCGATGCGGGCGCCCCGCGTGGTGTCCCATAGGCTTGTTGGTTGCATTTGGTGCGCTCGATGCTTGCGGCTGCGGACAGGTGCACCCCTGCTGTTTCGAGCTGGGAAGTTGGTCCGAAGCATCACAAAAAATCGCAAGTCGTCAGGGGCATGCTAGTGTCAAGAAAACTGTCTTGCTGTTTTCACAAGACCCTTTCAACTGGGTTTGGTGATCGCCCTGGGGGCCCATGTAGGGCCTGCCATTCAGCCAGCATGAGATGACGATTGATTTCGGAAGGAAAGGCCGGGGACATTCAGGCCATGCTGGACTCAAAGGTCCTTTCAACTAAGCACACTTGGCTCAACCCCAGACCAGTCCCTACATGCGCACAACTGACATGCCACTTGCTTTTTCGGCCTCGCATCTGAAACGCTTGAGCTTCGTGTCAGCTCTTCCACCAAGCGGTGCATGTGCGAGCTCAAACTGGGATCGCGCATGAGGGGATGACATCTTCGGAAGACCTGCGCCACGGAATCTGCCAGAATCTACGTCTAGAACCGAAGGTCGATGAGACTCATTCCTACCCATCCATGACCTCCCCGGAACTTCCAGGAGGCCGGCAGCCAGGGGTCAGCGATGCACCAACACCTGCCAGTTTGGTACTGTTGCGAAGTCGCTCCGGGTCGAGAAGGCCGGGCACACGCACTTCCGACCACGTGAACTCTGTGGGTGTGAAGTACATCTAGCGCCAGCCACCCAACACCCAAAACCCAAAGCAACCCTAACAGACTCTCGGGTTAAGTCTCAAGCGAGCGCATAGTGTGATATGGTGTGATCCGATCACCGAGTCAGAATACCACTGTCCAGTCGCTTGGAAAGCAGGTAGCATCATTGCGGGGTTCACCCTTGACCGAAACAAGCAGGCGACGGCCAGATCTTCGCCGACAGGCTCAGCCCCACCATCAAGAGCCCCAAAAACCCAAAAGCTTCATCATTTGGGGGAGACTCGAGGTGCTTCGTAGCTTCGGCCCGGCGGCGGCAGAATTCGTGGGGAAGCAGCGCCATGGAGTCCCAGTCCGAGAGGCTCGTCCTGAGTCTTAGGCTTTTGTCTTCTTCTGTTCATGGTTTCGGGCTGATCCGCAGTTGCCTGCTCAGAAACTGCGGCCAAAACCGTAAAGCAATCTAAGTTTTGCGTGCATACAGAAATCAACGAGCGAACCACCACCCAGCTCCCTCTGCGAGGCTCCATGGTGGTGTCTGTCCAGGGATCAGCTCCTGCTGTCGGCGTTTTCGCTTCAGGGGAAGCTGAGCTGCCGGAAATTCTGATTCTCAATACTCCAGCATAGGTGCGAGGGTGTGACTAAGTCCATGCTATACAGACAGTGTGGCCAATCTACACACTCCGCCTGGTCGAATCAGAGCCTCTTCTTGCATTCATCTTCTTCTTCCCAACCTCTAAAACCCTCTGCCTGTCCCGATCTCCCCAGAACCCAGGGCTATCTATCCAGGGCTCCTGTAAGAGGTGGCCCTTTTGGGCAGTGATCGTCTGAGCCACAAGCAGCCGGCCCGCATGCCGCGCCATCCTCGCTGTCCCATTCGGCTTTTGTTTCGATTGACCGGCGCCACTTCACCAAAGGACGCCGCAAAAGGGAACCCAACCCGGGCAAGCTGCAGCTGCTGCTTCTGCTGACACTCATACATACACATACGCATACACATACAAGTATACATACACATACATACACAATATATATATATATATACACACGTATACATAATATTATATATATATATATGTATGTATGTATGTATGTATGTATGTATGTATGTATGTATGTATGTATGTATGTATGTGAACACATGTACATATACACAAATACACAATACATATACATGCTCGAAGAACTTAAAAAATATCCTCACCGGTGGCCTGCCCCCGCAGCATCATGCATGCTCAGAGCTACGATGAACATATTTCGAAAACGAATGTCTGCATGGCACATGCCGTCAAGCGTAGTTTAGCAAGCCCTCTCCTCAAAGCCTGGTCAGGTGACCACGCACTGGCGAATTCGGAGGAGAACATGTCCATCAAGAACCTCGACACATGAGAGCTAGCGACAGGAATCGGCATCCCACTAAAACAGATCAGGGGAGCAGGGTGAGAACCAGGGCTAAGATACCCTCCACACTGTAAGCCCGTCGTGAACAGCTACATGCACTATGCCTTGTCCTTCTCTCAGGCTACCTGCTTGAAGTCGAGGCTCAGAAGGGTGATTGGGGATTCGCAGGCACCAGCAAGGTCCGGGAGCAAGTCTTCAGGCCCGGCGGCCGGGAAATCTACTTGGCTCGACCAGGTCGGTTGGGTCTCCTGCAGCTTCCTCCGCACCTCCGCGTAGAGCCAGGAGGACGCGAGCCAGCCCTCTCCATAGTGGAAGGAAGCGATCCCATCACCTCGATATCCCGTCGGGCAGATGTCGTTGGGAAATGAAAGATGCTCAAGATCATCAACCAGTTCAAGCGCATCTGCACATCTGGACTCTACAAGGCTCACCGGTGATGTTACTTTTTGCATCAGCTACAGAGGCCAAAGACAAAGTTCAAGTCTTGTCGCCAGGGAGGCGGCCCTGGCTTCCCAAACCAGACCGCGTGGAGTGGCGCAGCCGCCGCCGGTCTTCGCACGGCACAATTCTCGGCGTGTTCCAACCGTCCCGCACCGCTCCATCCTAACACAGGGAGATTCTCAGGCTCAGGCTCGGGGACTCGGGGAGCTGGGCTTGGAGAAACAGACAAAGCCCTCCCGTCTCAGTCCTGATACCCGGACAATATGTGCAAGTAGACAGAGGCTGCCTCATCCGACAGAGCTTGCCGGGTCTCTTCTCGCATAGCTGCCGACACTGGGCGCAAGAGAAACTTCTCCTGGTTTCGGAAAGTCAGCTGGCCAGCATCGCACTCGAATTCGGCCACGCTTCGTGCAAAGAGTCGGGAAATGAACTCTTGTGGTGTGCTCGAAAGCAAGATAAGCTCACAAAGCATCTTGCCCCACAAGATTGCACAAGGATTCATGTCAAAGAAGTGTAGACGCCTGGGATTCACAGCTGTGAGTAGATTGAGCGCGGTCATCGACCCCGCCACGCTAACCAAACGGTCAACGTCAACGAGACGAGCCCGCAGAAGGCTCAAGACAATGTGGAGCATCTCTCCGGGTGGATCCTCAACTAGCGCGGCACAACATGCGTCAACACTTTGGAGGGCAAGCAATGCTTCTGGCATGCACTTCTTAGCAAAGGATCATTGAAGGCCATGTAGCAGTCAGCCCAACCTTGGAAAGGCCAGGAGACCTCCCTCCAGCCCGGCAGTCCAGCGGCAGAGCCAGAGCTCTCCAAACGACCCTGCGAGATCCAGCCCTGATGCCAGGCTCGCGGAGCTCTTCGACGGGCCACGGCCCCATGCGCCCGGCGAGCCAGCATGACCGCCACTGGAAGTGTGCTAGAGCCAGGCCGCACAAAATCAGCATTCCGGTGCCTCTCGGCTTCATGATTGCAACGGCAAGCGATGCAACCTCTCACATCAAACCTGACCCTCTCTGTCAGAGTCCCTCTGCCGATGACTTTGACAGCAGTCCCGAAACTGCAGAAGCTGGAAACATGCTGGACCTACAGTAGTTGTAAGTAAGAACAGCCATAACGCACCGCCTGCATCAGGATTTTGTATTTCCCAACCACGGGACCCTGCAGCGGACAACCCGAACCCACTTAACCCTGAAAGCCCGAAACCATGATTTTCCCTGCCTAGTAGAACTCTTTCAACTTGGCGCGTGCCTGGTGGCCAGCGAGTGTATCTTGCAAACCCAGACATTCAACACCACTTCCGAAACGCCTCAGAAGCGCAAGCCCTGCCCCCAGAAACCTTGCAAAGGACACCTAAACCCGTTCAAGTGGGAGAAAAAACTCTCCGCTCCCTCATGCTCTCTACAGAAATGGCGCTAGGCGCTAGCGTTTGTCTGCCACGAGACTTCGAAGCCGGCCATCGAGAACACCAAATCCCAGTCGCTCCAGACCCTGACTAGATGCACGGACGTCCATGTGTACCTTTCGAAGCACAAGAGCGCGGGCAGGTGCAATTCCATCCCCGCCCTTACACCCACAACTGGCAAGCTTTCCGATACACTGAACCATAGGAACAAATCTGTGACACAATCCAGGAATTCTGGTCAGAGGGAGTCCTCAAAAAAGGAAAGACATGAAAAGAGCCTGACCAGGCCTCTGCGGCTAAGCCTTTGAGCCGCAGCGCCTTGAAAAAGCTGTGCAGTGCTTGGCTGGGAGGGTGTTGCCGGTTGACTCCGAAATATCCAATGCAAGCTGCTGTCCCGGAAGACAGAACCGAGGGGATGAACTTCAGGATTCGGAAATCAGGGCTGCTGGAGCCCCAAGTCTGCTCACAATGATGTCCACGACGCCCGCGTGGCTGAAAGATAGGAATTGCACAGCTCCGCTTGTTTCTTGTCGTGCTTCCACTCTGCGTGCTGGGGTCCCCCTCTACTGGTGAGAGGTGGGGGAGCTGGAGCCTGACGTAGCCTGATACTGCCTTATACTGGTCTCTGACGCTTGGACTTCCGAGCAGTCAGGACACCAGGAGCTCCTTCGCCGGTTTGCAAAAGCTCCGACTCTGCACTATCACATGCTCGTTTGCCTCTGTACATGGTGGGCTCGGCATGGCGACAAGCCTCGGGTCTTCAGGTCCTTGCACTTTGGTGTGAGGACACTGGCTCAACCTTAGGCTCAGGATGATCCCAATGTTCTGTCCATGGCAATTCCTCACAACCCAAACTGACCGATTCCTAGAACAGCCACGACACACGTGGCATGAGCCTGCAGGTCAAGACCGTGTGCCTCGCATGCTTAGCAGTCTCAGTCTCAGGCATCCCCCTGCGCGAGTATCATGTGAGGCCTATGCAAGCCCGTCAGAAAGAAGTCCGTGAGTAAGCATGGCTATACACGAGCACCCTCATTTCTGAATGCACAGGTGTATGATTGTGTATACATATACATATATATATATATATACATATTCGTTTGCATATCTATATAAATAAATAAATAAATATATATATATATATATATACACACACACACACGCAAACAACATGTTCCAGCCCAGTACGCGGTGCGGTCGTTGCAGGTATGTACACCACACGCACCTTCATTTATGCACTTAGGTCCAGGTGCGTACATGGAGTAGGCTCAGAGCACATGGCAACTTCCGGCTTGAGAAACCAACAAGACTCCTCGAGTTATCTGTGTGCACCGGTGGTCGTGTCGTGTAATTTGTCCATGGCCAGCGGCCGGCTGGAGGGTGACATTCATGCGAGTACTGACAGGTAACCTGAGATCAGTGGAGCCGCACGCTATGGTCAGTTCATGCCGTACCATCACTAGCAGATCATTCACAGCAGCAGCCGCTGCGGTCGCATGATCGCTAAAGTAGCAGAAGCAGTGAAGCTGGTTTGGGGGGAAGCCTGGATCAAAGCTTTGCGACAGCCGCGTGTGACCGCCTACCCAGCAGTGCCCTCTAACTGACGTTGCCTGCGATTCAGCTACAGCATTCAGGGCGGTCCATGTAATTCTTCTGCTGCTACCACTCGTCACTAATCTTCCTGCCGGGCGAATCTGCTTAAGGTCGCAGTAAACCAACAGCACGACGGGCCATGACAGAGTCCAAGATGATCTCCGGAATACCTCCGTCTGGGACAAGTTACGACAAGGCAAATTGGGATTCCGAAGCCGTGTGCTCGTGTCAAGTGGGTTCCCCGCTTGCAAGCCTGTGAGTGCATCTAGACTGCTCTTCGTTGGGCCACTCGGACTTTGGACAACGGCTAACCAATGCTAACCATCACACACGGCTGTGTGCCGTCTTTTCTGAAACGTCTGCTTGTTTTCTCATGTGTGCTTCTGACTTCTTCTCATGCCTGGAGACTGTAGACAGCGTGACGACATTCAGGCTGGAGATAAGGTTAATCTGCGTGCCTTCAACACTACAAGTATCAACCAGAAGCTGACGTACATGCCTGGGAACGACCTGCACCCCCTCCGGGGATGACAACACCTGTTTGTATGCACCTACACGACCTGGTGGTCCTGCTGGGTAGCAGAAACGAAAAGACTATAAGGCGGCTGCCGAATATGATGCGGCGTCCAACAGCATTGCGTTGAACAACCGCGTGGGGCTGCGCAGTGGATGATTTGTGCTGGCTTTGGCGGTCCACAAAACGAATCTGAAGCATGTTACAGGTGACGCAGCCAAACCTTCCACGTTCTGCGCAACTTCATCTAATCTTTAAGCTTCTCCACAACTCCAGCTTTCGGTCGAATCAGAAGACCACTACAGCCGAAAGAATTGCTGCCCACCATGCACCTACGTGCAGAACAAAGTTGAGGATCCGAAGTCCGTTCAGTTTTGCCCACTACTCACCAGGACTTGTCGTGCGGATCCTGCCAGAATCGATGTAGCTCTGAAGTTCAGTTTGACGGTGGAGCTGCAGTGGCTGTCGCTCCATGGACGCAAACCCGTGTCCAGGGAGAAGGGCATTCTACTGGCTAGCCCGAGCAACTCCACATTTTTTTGAGGGACCGTCTTAAACCATGGCTTTGTAATTGCTTGTCGCAGGCAATACCCGTGAGGACTCACAGCTCGTGTGGTCTACGGAAACACCCAGCGAAAGGATTCTCGGACAAAACCGTGGCCTGCTTGCACACACCACTTCCGCAAGAAGTCGATGGCTACCTGAACAGTCACAGCCACACGAAGAAACACGCCTCCCAGGGCAGAGTCGAGATGGATTTTTTGCGCATTATACTATCGTCTGTGGGCCGGCATCCAGGAATGAATTATGGGATGCCCAGCTGGTCCTATCTCTCCCTCCGCGCATGTGTAAATGTTTATGCGAATATGAATCTCTGTCCGTATGTATACATACATGTATGGATGGATGTACGGATGCATGCATGTGTGTGTGTACATGTAGACAGATGGATAGACAGATTGTCTTAGACACACAAGACGTGTCTATGTCAACGAACGGGCACCTTCAGCTTCAAGGCTGCGAAATCTCCGGAACCACAAAGCCGAGGCACGAGCGCCCAGGCTGGGAAAATCGTAAGTGGACTGGGATTCAAATTTAAGGCAGCAAGGGCCATGAAATCTCCCAACCGAAACGGTTCAGATTTCGGAGTGGCAGTGCCAAGGCACGCAGCCGGCCAGGATTGCCACCACCACACAGCAGGCCACCAGCGGCTGGATCTCCTCTTTGCAGGTTCCATGTGGTGCTGCGACACGGACAAACCCGAGGCAGAATGATGGGGTTTCTCACCTACTGATAGCAGTAGTAGTTCGGATTCCCAGGCATGCTTTGTGCCGGCGTGGCGCATAAGCCCAGGCAAAGAGCATCTGCAGGCCGAAGAAGCAAAGAACCACGCCGATGCCATAGTGCAGGAGCGGAAAGCAAGTCAGCATGTCCTGGCTTCACAGGTCTCTGGGCTGTTGCTTCAGAGAACACTGGGACGAGTGCAGGCTGTTCTGCTACGGGCTGCTGGCCAAGAGCGCTTGAGACAAGACAGCAAAACGTCACCGAATGTGTGACTTACTGTTGGGGTGCTAGCCATGCAGGAGATGGCGACTATCCGCCTTGTTCCTTTAATCTGCAGTTATCCGATTTCTTGCCTGTTGACAACTTTCCCGCAGCCATGTAGAGGGGGATTGCGTGTCAGAATCCCCTTCAGGATTACCAAGCCCGATCTCTCCAGCATTCCGACCCAAGCAGCGGCAAACAGTTGGCCCAGAGCGGTTGTGGGCCCTCTGCTGCCCTAAAAACTGACATGTTCAGCCAGCCAAGCGGCTTGGCTCAAGGCGAAGAGCTCAGGGATCAGAAATGCCGCCATGGCAGAGGAACTGAAGGCCAGGTAGGAGTTTGGGATCTCTTCCTCAGGCTGCCGTGGAATCGATAAAAACAGCCATGCTCGGTGCACAGCAGCCCCTGTCTACCCATAGGCCCTATAGTATATAGTTCCTTTTGGGTTCATATTTAGAATCCTATAGGGTAATCCCAAAAAGGAACTATTATGGTGCCTATGGGAAACCTGACGAGTGTTCTCGAGCTTTTCGACCTTCACTCTCGCCACAGCCAAGCGAGGATTCGGCCGTCCGGAACTAACGTACTACATCGCGAAGCCACGGTTATTGCCTGCCAGCCGCCAATCGCAAGGAGCAAGGACGAGCATGCTCCGACTGAACTTACATTGGACCTACACGCTTTGGGGAGGATAGCATAGTATAATATAGTATGGTATGGTATAGTATAGTATAGTATCGGATAATATAGCATAGTAAAGCCGGCAAACGCCGTGCCTCTTTCTGAGCGGGCTTCTCGAGGGTTCCATCCCGGATCGAAACTTCAACTTTCATGACATTCCACATTGAGCGGCGCCCTGACAAACTGCATCTCTAAGTCCATTGTCCTAAGCCAAGTTTCGATTTTAGTCAGAACGACGTCAATGTCCAACATGAAGTCGGCCAGCAGAAGAGCCGCCGTAGCCACATCGAGCACCGACACTTTCAGGTGCTCATAGGCCTTTACGACGAAGTATCCTCTGGCAGCGCATGCAACTTTACTTCCGCTTCGGCCTTGCTGAACGTGTAATCGTGTAACGGAAGCAGCCTGGCCAAAACACACACTCAATCCTCAACCCCTGATTTCAGCCGTCCTGTTTCTTGCGGCATGTCCACGGTAATGCGGTTGCCCGTAACATTCCTGCCAGGATTGTCGGCAGCGACACAAGACTTCCTGGCTTGCTTCTCAGGTGCCAACTTGTAAGAACCTGGAGCAAAACCGAAGCACCGCGATTCCGCTTCCTGCAGGCCTGCATTCAAGGTTTGGAACCGAAGCCGAGGCCCCAATCTCAACGCCAGACCCGGGCCCGCGCGTCCTTACCATATCCGCGGCAGGACTTGCGGACCTCTCCGAGCTGCAAGGACCTGAGCTTTGAGTCTTCAACCTCCTTGGTTGATTCAAGGGTTTACCTTTCTTGGTCAATTGCGGCTTCGACTTCAAGTTAGGCTCTGGTAACCGCCAGCACATCTGACGTTTGCACGTGGCCCAAAGCCAAGCTCAAGATCGCTAGGGCTGATGCAAATTGCAAATAATGCTCTTCCGGGATTCCAGTGCCGGGGCAGGTTCGGTCCAGGAAGATGTACGGGCAGTTTTCGGTACGCTTGTCGGAGCTTACGTTCTGCTTCTG